CCCCCATCCAAAAAATAAAAAGGAGAAAAAAAAAGAATCCTCATCCTTATCCCTTTTCTTACAAGTGGTCATCATAAACCCTCTGATGAGCCTCTTATCTTTTCAAAGGAACCATCAGACCAGTTAAAATCACCTGACCTGAGACTCTGAGAGTTATTGCTTAGTGTTGGTTATTTGTTTTCTGTATATCCAATATTATACATGCTTGGGGAAGTCTGGAGGACAACATTTTTGTTTCCCACAAGGCCTGCCAGCCAACCTATCGATACTCCCTTATCATTCAATGAGAAAGCTTTTAATGGGGTATCGATTAAAATTGTACCAAGAAAGTAATTTTAATGATTCCATAAAAAAAGAGTAAAGTAGTCTAATAGTATTGGGAATGTATAGCCAAATGACTTATGTACCAACCCCATATAGCTGGGAGATAAGGCTTAGATGATGATGAGGACCTATCAGTTATCTTTTTCACATAATCTAAGAACCCAGGATAATGCAAAAGGTAGCTCAAGATCTAAACATCCAGGACAACAGGCAAACATCACATGATAAGATGTTAGATGTAAATCCATCAGGAAAAAATTCACAAAAAAGATATTAAATGCAAGATAACAAATTTCTGATGTCTGTCGCAAACACCACCTATTATATTTGCTGTCCAGTAAACAAAATAATATATATAATAGAAGAGATCATTATTTTATGATATTGTAGCAAAGGATGACAAAGATTCCATCTGAAAGATTAAGTCTGAAAAAACCCAACAACCCCAGCATATCTAGTTTCTTCCTAGAAGAACTTACTTATATTCTCGTTTAGTGAATTAATGCCAGATAATCAATACCTTGAGGTCCACATTCGAACGTGAAGCCAATGCATGGCTGAATTCTGGGTCTCTTAGTATTATTTTCCATTTGCCTGGCCCATGTTTAGCAATTCCAGCTCTAAGTGCAGCTTCTTCTTCAGGCGTCCACTTCTGCTTAGGCGCACCCATTGACTTTAAACCTAAGATTCCAAATAAACTGACCTAGTAACCTGTATATAAACAACAAAGGGAACCATCACTTGATAAGATTCACAAATGTATCTTCTACAAATTGAAAATTCAATAGAAAAAAACAATCCTATAAAATCACTTAGGCTGTGTTTGGTTTGAAGGAAAAAGTAGGGAAAGGAAGGGAAAGACAGGGAAACCTAATACAAGATTTGTAAAGGTTTCCCTACATTTCCCTTCCTTTCCCTACCTTTTCCTTCAAACCAAACATAGCCTTATTATAATATAAATTATAGGGAATATTAAAAACGAAGAATTCCATTCACCTAAGTTTCTGTGTGAAGAGAAAAGAAACTTTAAGGTGGAAGTAAGACACAGAAAACCCTAGATAACCAATCATACATCTTCGTATGGACTGAATTGTGTGAAGAGAAAACCGAATTAGACAATGCAGAAACAGAGGCAGAGGCCATACATCAAAACCAAAATTCAGAGTTGAAAATCTAGTTCAAGTCCAAACATGAAATAGAATTTCTACAAGATCAAAAACTAAAATATACAATCAGGAATGCAGATTGTTCATCAGAAAATAAGTCCCCAAAAAAATCAGTTAACTAAAAATACGGAAACCTCAAACCAATCACCAAAAACCCTAAACCCCACCTCTATCTCCCCAAAACAATATAAGAAAATTCAGAAAACTTCGCAAGTATTTTGCAAAATAGTAACCTATAATCGCGGCCATGAATGGATTTCGACTTTTCCGGCAAATGCCAAGCGGAAGCTTTTCTCTCTGTTTCTTCGGCGACGTGCTTGCGGCTTGCGGTGGTCAGATATGGGCGTTTAAAACCAAGCTACCGCCTTCCGGTGGTCAGATATGGCTTTTCAAAAAAGATTTGGACTTCGGAATCATTCAAAAAGTCGCGTATGCCACGTGGCTAACATTTCTTATCAAACTTTGTCTCCTACTAATCTATCCTATCGTAACTGGCGGCCAGGTGGGGAAATGACGTGGCATGGCATCGGGCGTTCTGGAATGCCACATTGATGTGGTCCCACGAATTCACGCTGACGTTGGATTCTTGTGATTGGCCCAGCATTGTGACTTGTGAGTTAAACTGTAGAGGAGTGTCACCACAAGTTAACATACAAATGCGGAAAATGTTCCCAATGCGCGGGGCTGATGTGATCTCAATGGCGATTAACGAAGAAGTGGAACTGTGTCGGAGTGACCTTATGGCACATTGGAAGCATCTCCTGTATTTGAATTTATTATTCATGGGAAGATGTTCCCAGTACAGGGTAGGATGTGGCTGTGTGGTGGTTGTAAGGCGTGCTCTGTAAAGATCTGTTCCTCTATAGCACATCTCACACTAGAGGCCGTTCAAACATCTTTATGGCTTTGCATTGAGCCGTCCTCACAAATGGGCGCCTCACAGGCACATCTCCCGTGAATAATAACTAATAAGTATAGGAGATGTTTCCAATGCATGGTAGGATGTGTGTGTGAGGAGCCTATGAGACGTCAGGTGTGAGGAACAGATCCGATCTTCTTGCATTGAAAATAGGGATAATAGCATATAAGGGCAACTTTTTGCCCTTAATATCAATAAAAAATACTATTTTTATATATAGGGGGGAGAGGGCTAGTAGTAGGGGGCTGGAATTCAGAATTCTGCATCGTGTGTATCTGTACTTTTCTGAAAAAATACTGTAAAAAAAAAGAAAGAAAAAAGAGGCCTTTCCCCGGAAAAAGGATCGTCCCCCATCGCTGGCAATAATGTTGGTTACAACAGTCATGGTACCAGCCTTGTCATCCTCGGCAAGATATGAACAACAACAGCTTGCAATGCCGGTGGTGGATCCACAACCCACAATTGCGGTGGTCTAGCGATGACATCCACCACTGCAATTCTGCCACCATGTGAACGAATAGCACAAACCTTACCCCCACTGGTTGCAATTTGCACTACTCCTTTGAGATGGGCTGATTGAATGAGCTCCTCCTAGCAATCCCCATAAGAATTATATCTCCTGAGCACTCCTTTGGTCTCATCAACCACATATAGGACATCCTCGTCCATTGATGTATTCTGGGTTTCTTCTTTACTTTAAGTGTGCAAGATAGAGTGGGGTGCAGCCTCGATGGATGGGTATTTCCATTTCAACATTAATGGGAGCTGAGATGTGCAGTTCTTTAGAGCTGGATACAGAGGCGGAATGCCTCCTCTGCCCCCTCCTGCACCGTCGAAGTGGGTGAATACATAGCCAGAGGAGGAAGACGAGCGACTGCCCTTTTTTGATATTTTTCTAATAAAAGTTACCCCATTTTGATTTTTATGTAAAAATATTATTTTTATTGATATTAAAGGCAAAAGTTGCCTTTATCAGCTAGAATCCCTTGAAAAATATCTCCCCATAAAATAAAGTACATAGGAACGGAGATATTCCCAATGCAAGGTTATAAAAGTTGTTTCAATAGGCCTCGCATTGACTGAAGTTGATCTCTTCACACCAACCTCAAAGGCACATCCCACCATCTACCGGAAATATCTCTCATACTTTTATGTTATTATTCATCTGAGATGCTCTCAATACACTGTAGGATGGGACCATGAGATCGGTGTGAGGTGCGCTATGTAAGGAGCCGATCCTAATTCAGCTGCAGAGGGAATTCGGATTTGCCGCAAAAGATCAAACAAAATGGTGCATTGAGTCCTTTTCCGCCGATGTAAGTCAAGGGAAACCATTGATGGTCTACCTTATCATCATCCAGCAGTCTGAACCTCATGAGTCACGAAGCTTGATTCGACCGTTGGATTACTTTTCCTTGCCGCAGAGACCATATTTGGAAACTCCAATATTTTCTAATTGAGAAAGAAATAGTATAGAAATACATATTACAGAATTGTAGATGCAGAGACGAGAGAAGAAGATGATGATGATGATGATGATGATGATGATGATGATGATGATGAAGGAGAGAGTGACCTGATCACCTGGGTGAGAGGAGAAACTATCGCAAAAGGCAGGTACGACACTGTTTCATTGGCCAAAACCGATCACCATCAACTCCACCACTACCGTTTCCCACATGTAATGGCTATGAAAGTCTGGTAAGTTTTTTCTGTCCAGAACGATTTAGGAAGAGCACAAGATACTGACCCAACTGTTGATRTTACCGTCGACAACGATGTTATCTTCTACAATCTGTTGATGGAAACACTTCGGGAGGCAGTTTAGAGGATTGGATAATGTCTTCTTGTGAGGGGTTGCCAAAGTAGGAAGTTAGGCTGTGTTTGGTTGCAATGCAAATTAATTTCCACTGATGCAAAACTATGACACTGCAAATGATTTGAGTGTAAATTCTGATTTATTTTTGTTTAGATTTTAACTTAATTTTGTTTGATTGTAGTATAAGTGAAGTAAATTAAGACTTTGAAGCAAAATAAAATAAAACCCAAAACAAAATTAAATGAGAATTTGCATTTTTTTTCATTTGCACTTCCATGTATTTGCATTAGTGCAAATAAAATTGCAGTGCAACCAAACATAGTTAAGTGCTACTATAGGGATGGCAATGGGTAGGGTACCCACAAAAATTGTCCCTCCTCAACCCGCCTATGCATTCGTGGTTCCAAACCCATTTAACTTTTCCACCCAAAACTTGTTAAACCCATCATGTTTAGTCCCAAACCTATTAAACCCACCACATAAATGATTTAGGCCATGTTTGGGAGTGCTTAAAAATAAGTGTTTACTCTTTTAAGCCCATATTTCTAGATTTTTTTAAGTGCTTATACAATAAGCATTTATTCAAGTTTTTTCTTCCAAAATTATCCCTAGTTGAATTTTAAAATACAACTTATAAAAGTATCCCTAGTTGAATTTTATAAAAGTACCTTTATAAAAGTGATTTTTATTAAAGTACTTTTATGAAAGCACTTCTAAGAAAGCACTTTTATGAAAGCACTTTTACGAAAGCACTTCTAAGAAAGTACCTTTATGAAAGCACTTTTATAAAAGCACTTTTATGAAAGTACTTTACAAAAATATTTTTATGAAAGTACTTTATAAAAGCACTTTTATAAAAGTACTTTTGTAAAAGTGCTTTTATAAAAGTGCTATCATAAGAGTGCTTTCATAAAAATGTTTTTATAAAAGTAATTAAATAAAAGTATTTTCAAAAGGTATATTTTGAAAATTTGAAAGAAAATGAAGGACAAAATAGTCACAAATGCTTATTTAAGTGCTTATTAGAGAAAAAGACTACCAAACACTCAATATAAAATAAGTGCTTATTTTTTTAAATAAGCACTTGAAAAAATTGGGTGCCAAATGCAAATAAGTGCTTATTCGAATAAGCACTTGTTTTTAACTTAAGCACTCCCAAACATGGTCTTAGAATAGTTTTTAGATGCACATTCCAGAAGTTTTTTAACTTGTACTTTTGCTATTTTACCCTTAGGATGTTTTTTTCACACATTCAAAACATGTTTAAATGTCTTTCTATAATTATCTCGTTAATTTCCATATTTACCCTTCTGTCATTTAAATCACGTTTTTTTTTTCCATTCTTGAATATGCTAAGCTAAATTTATTTGTAGAGTGTTCTTTTGTTATGTACATGCATGTTTATGCTTTCTTGGTTTTTAGAATATTCATTTTTTAGCTATTCATTAATATTCAACACTTGTGTTTAGTGAAATGGGTCGAATTGACTCGAGTTGGTCAAACAGTATACTACCTTCTTACACTATGACAAGGAGACTAGCAAGGAAGGTGCTGCTGGGTTGATCCTATCATCTAGGGGAGGTCATTCTTGGCTCGACCCATAAACCTGGCCTAGCTTGGCCCTAGGTTTCTGTATGCAACACAACTTAGGCCCGGGTCCACATCAAGCCCAAAAAATTTTGGGTCGAGCTTAGACCTAATACTAAGGCTACGTACGGAGGTCTCCTTGAAGGACATAGGAAAATTGAGTGCAGAAGATAGGCAAAAGGCTTAGGGCAAATGGAATGATAGAATGATGATTTCGTTATGAGATGGACCCTTATTTATAGGGAGAGATCCTGAGGTCCTGAAAAGAAGGAGCCAAAAGCGTTTGATTCCCATTAGGAAAGAGAATTTTGGATTCGCTGTCAGTTATTAGGAAGCATTGCTAGGGTTTTGCCACATGTCTTATGAGATATTTTAAGGATGAACCTTTATTTTGTTTGAGGATTCTCATAATACACGTGTGCTACTTCCTTTCGTGACTCTTTTAAATCGACGTGGCATGGGTGACATCACTATTTACCTTAAGCGCTCTTATTAAGCCCATGGGGTATTCCGTCACGTGTAATTTAATGACTCATGTGTGTCTATTATTTGTTCCCTACCTATGGTGATTCCACGTTTGTCGTGGTTTTGTGATGAATTTAAACTCATCGCATATTTGTGTGTGTCCAAAGCTCATCGCTAGTCCGCACATGTCCAAAGCTCATCGCAAGCCCGTGCGTGTCCAAAGCTCATCGCAAGTCCGCACGTGTCCGAAGCTCATTGCAACCTGTTTCGGGTATGAGTTTGTCGCAGATGTGTGATGGGCTATAGATTCATCACAAATATTCGTGTAGTATTAGTTTTGACGCCCTTTATATTTTGATGGTCTGAATGACCACTGATGCTGCACAATTTGGGCACTCCTAGCTGGTTGTGACTTGGCTTCTGGCTGGAACGGACGACACCTGAGAGGAAGGAGAAGGTGAAGGGTTCCCGGTGAGCTCTCCTGGTGGGAACACTCCGATGGTTAAGTTAGAACTGGAGAAATCTCAAAGAAAGAACAGAGAATAAGAGTGCTGAAAGTGCTTAAGCTTCAATACCCCTCCTTCGTGAGAGTTGGAGTTCTTTTTTA